ACCTTTAGTTGGCTTTATTAACTAGTTAATGGTTGCTGTCTCTGCACTGACATAACATAACATTTACCCCAAAAGAGATAGGCAGAAGCATTACGGCACTTAATGCCACTGTACAATATAACACTCACTTTTCACTATTAACTTATCACCAGGCGAGATAGTGGCCAAACGTCGGCCCATCCAGTATTAAGAAAAGGGACTAACGAGACGGTTGACGGTTGATGAATTGTTTCATAGCAACGAGAGCTGAAACCTATTTAAATTACACAACGTAATACCAGAAAATTGCAATTAACATAACGTGACATCGTGCATTACGCCACATTATGCCACTGTACAATGTAACACTCACTTTTCACTATTTATGTTATGAGTCCCATGTAATAGGGGGTGAGCCATGAGCCATATTGCCATGTACCGGACACTTTTCTACGTGCTACTACTGAGAGTTAAAAAAAACAGTAAAAATCTTTGCACTGAATCAATTTTAATTTTCTTACCTGTGTATTAAATAACTTGATCTTTTTAAACGTTGCCCCACACTTTGATTTACTCCTGTGTCGTCGTTAAGAAATATGCGTTCACATACACATGACACCCAGACCCGAAACAACAATCTGTGGATCACACAAAGAGTTGTTATGTGCGGCCATCCATCCCGCGACACGTTGTGCGATAGTCAGTTGCTCAGCCACCGCGCCAATTGCGCAGTGAAGTCAAAGATTTATGTAACATAACATCACGCCTTTTATCCCCGAAGGGGTAGGTAGAGGTGCACACAGAAGTTACACCCACTTTTCACTATTTATGTTATGAATCCCATGTAATAGGGGGTGAGCCTATTGCTATATACCGGGCACATTTCCAGACTCCGTGCTATTACTGAGATTTTTTTTAAAAACCCAGTGATACTATGCCCGACCCGGAAATCCAACCCGAGATCCCTTGCATGGCAGTCGCACTTGCGACCACTCGGCCAATGAGGCAGTCCTGTCTAATCAAAGATTTACTGTACATTAAACATAAGTTCAGATAATTATAAACCAAAGTTCTCCGACAATTGGTTTCCTATCACACTTCAGCAATGAGGTAGTTTAGATTCGCCTACTGAGTATTTTCATTGGCTTTCATGGAGGCGTTGAAAATTGATTTGTTATCTACTATTAATTAAAAGTTTGTTAAAGATATCCTAAATTAAAGTTTATGGAAGCGGATATTATATTGTCAGAATAATTTTCAAGGTAACTAAACTTGTTAAGAAGACTTGTTTCATTATTTTGTATTGAATTGGAAATGAGTGAAAATTGGTATGGAAAGTCGTCACCGTCTAGCAACTATTATAATAATAATAATCATAATTTTTATTTCAGGCACAATTACATTAACCCATATAAACTTTACACATAAAATAGGTACGTAATGAGAAATCGAAATATAGATACACAGTTTAATGAACAACAGTATGAAGGCTCACCCATACTGAGTTAATTTGAAGTCCTATCTGTCTATCAGTATTGTGCTATTACAAATATACTCTACTATGCACATATACAAATTATTCACCGTGATTGATATAAATGAAAAAGAAGTTCCTCCAATTTCTAGACACTATACACTTTTTGTGTATTCGTGCTAAATTAATTACCTGTAAGCAACAAGTTTTAAACTCTGATAGAGTTCACAAACTTCTGAATAAAGGATCCTGTTTTCAGTAGAAGCACGGAGTTTTAGATTGTACACCTAACAGGCACGGCACCGTCGCAGCGTTTTTGTTGCACATACATA